GTATTGGTACAGGGATAAACACATAAGTCAGTGGAACAGAATAGAGAATCCAGAAATAGATCACACAAATATGCCCAACTGATTGTGGACAAAGGTACAAAAGCAATCATTGGAAGAAAGACTGCCTTTCAACAAATGGTGCTGGAACAACGTACATCCACAGGCAACAAACACTCTTGACTTAAGTCTCATAGCTTATGCAGGTTGAGTATCCCTTATCCAAAATGCTTAGGACCAGAAATGTTTTGGATTTCAGATATTTTTCAGATTTTTGAAAATTTGCACATACCTAATGAAATATGTTGGGGGTAGGATCCAAATCTAAACATGAAATTCATTTATGTTTCATATATACCTTATACATGTAGGCTGAAGGTAATTTCATACATTTTTAATAATTTTGTGCATGAAACAATGTCTTGATTGCATTTTAACTGTAACCCATCACATAGAGATTGCACGTGGAATTTTCCACTTGTGATGTCATGTTGGTGCTCAAAAAGTTGTGGGTTTTGGAGTATTTCAGATTCTGAATTTTCAGATTAGGGATGCTCAACCTGCACAAAAAATTTAACTCAAAAAGAATCATGGACTAAAATGCAAAACATAAAAACAGGAGAAAAGTCACAGGATCTGAGGCTAGGCAAAGAGTTCTTAGACTTGACACAAAAAGCATGATCCATAAAAAAAGAAAAACTGATACACTGGACCTCATCAAAATTGATAACTTTTTCTCTATGAAAGACCCTGTTAAATGCAGGAAAAGGTAAGTCACAGAGTGGGAGAAAATATTTATAAACCACATATTTGACAAGGACTGCTACCTAGAATATATAAAGAAGTATCAAAAATACCCAATAAGAAAATCTGCAAAAGGATGAAGACATATTTTACTCAAAAGAATATATAGATGGCACGAAAAGATGTTCAACATCATTAGCTACTAAGAAAATAAAAATTAAAACTACAATGAAATGTCACTACACACCTATCGGAATGGGAGGCAGAAAAGAGGAAAAAAGGTTAAAAAAAGAGAAACAGACACAACACCAAATGTAGGTGAGAATGCAAAGAAAATGAATCAGCCATACACTGCCGACGGGATGTATATAACAGTGTGGTCACTCAAGAAAAGTTTGTCAGTATCTTGAAAAAATAAGTATGCAACTACCATTTGACCCAGTAATTGCACTCATGAGCATTTATCCTAGAGAAATGAAAACTTATGGTCACTTGAAAACATACATACAAATGTTTATGTACCAACTGTTTTTGTAACAGCCAAAAACTGCAATCAGCCCAGATGTTCATCAACTGCTCAATGGCTAAACAAAAAGTGGTACATCCACACCAATGACAATAAAAATGACCAATGACCAGCAATAAAAAAGGAACAAACTATTTATACACACAAAAATCTGAACGAATAGCCAGAGAATAATGCTGAGTGAAGAAAGCCAGCCCCAAAAGGTTACCTATTGTATGATCCAATTTATACAATATTCTTTAAATGACAAAACTGTGGAAATGGAGAACAGATTAATGGTTGCCAGTGATTAAGGAGGGGTTGGGGACAGAAGGGAAGCGGGTGTGGCTGTAACAGGGCAACATGAAGAATGGGTATGGGTATGGGTATGTCCTGCATCCTGACTTTATCAACATCAATATCCTGTTGTGAGGCCAGGTGAGGTGGCTTACACCTGTAATCCCACCACAGGCTGAGGCAGGAGGATCACTTGAGGCCTGAAGTTCTAAACCAGCCTTGGCAACACAGCAAGAGCCCATCACTACAAAAAATAGAAAAATTAGCCGGGCGTGGTGGTGCACACCTGCAGTCCCAAGCTACCTGGGAGCCTGAGGCTGGAGGATCACTTGGAGCCCAGGAGTTTGAGGTTGCAGTGAGTTATGATGACACCACTGCACCTAGCCTGGGCAACAGAGAGAGACCTTTTCTCTTTTTAAAAAAAAAAAAAAAAATCCCGCTGTGATACTATACTACAGTCTCAAAGGATGTTATCACCAGAGGAAAATGAATTAAAAGGAAGAGGAAATTTCTCTATATTGTTCCTTACAACTGCATGTGAAGAATCTGTGATTATCTCAAAATAAGAAAGTTTACATTAAAAAACAAAATAAACATCTTAAAAAGGAAAGGCTCTTTACCTGCTAATCCTACAATACCTGCTCTGTGTTCCTCATCTCCTGCTATGTCCTCACTTCTATTTGTCATTCAAACCAAATTCCTTCTTTGCTCACGGATTACTTGATTCTTATTTTATCTAGCTAATACCACTCAAATGAAATAACTCTTCCTAAAGTCAATGATAATCTTTCAACTGAAAAACAAAATTGAAATTTGCTACTTTTTGGATTTAACTAGCCTTTAAGTATTTGACACCAATGACTACTCCTCTTCCATAAAAATTCTTTCCTACCTCCTCTGCTTCTGTAACAATACCCTCTACTAGTTCCCCGCTTGAACTGCTTGTTGGGGGGTGAAGGCGGGGAGAGGAGGCTTTTTCTTTTAACTTCCAAATGCTGGCTTCATTCAGGACACGAATATTCTTCATGTCCTGTATGTGCTCCTTGGTGCTCTCATTTTCAGCCATTCCATCTACATGTTAATAGAGTGTAAGCCTCCCTTATCAATATCTATTCACATAAATCGTTTCTAGATCAATGTGAAGGTCTCAAAGAAAAGTCAACATATTCCAGACTGGACTACTCCCTCCTATGCCCACCCACCAAAATAATCTGTTTTCTTATATTCCTATTAATTGTTCTGCCATCCATATAGTTATTCTAGCCAGAAACCTGAGAGTTATCTTAGACTCTTCCTTCCTTAACCCCCATCTCTAATAAGTTTCTATGTCCTTTCAATTCTTCTAAATCTCTCTTGGCTTTGACCCTCCTCTGCCAGTTTCTTAACACATTAACTGCCATGTGAGTTGTATTTAACTCATGCTAGTTCTGAGCCCAGGGCTTCATGAAGCATATGTAACTCACATGTCTCTTTACCTTTATCCTTATGAACTATTTTTCAAGTTACATATAATGCATGCACAGAAAACAACTTAAAAAACCAACTTTTTGATTAAATTAGAAAGGATCGTTTTCTTTTCAAAGTTTTTATTTTATTTTTGTAATAAAACACCGTGGCCCCAAGGAAAAAAATTTTTTCTGGTGTGCAGTCAATGTGTTAATTTAGTCAAATTCTAATCATCTATTAGTTGGTCTATCTCCTTATCTGGCTCCCTTCTACTCTCATACTGTTTACAGATTAATTTTACTAAAACACAAATCTGATCTCATTACTATATAGTGCTTAAATTTCTCCCATAGTTCCACATTGCTTTCAGGAAAAAAGTCTAAATTTGTTGTTGCAACATGTATGGCCTTTAAACCTCTACCTACTTTCTGTCCTCATCTCCTACAGCTTACACTTCTCTGCTAGTCTCTCATCTCACTGAGCCACACGGCATTTCCCAAACATGCCACATTGTTTCCTGATTTTACCTTTAAACAAATTCTTTGCTCTTCCTGGAATGCAGCCTTCCCACATGCCTGGCCCCTGCTGACCCCCATCACACAGCTCTAGCACTCCCTCCCGAAAGGCCTTGACCAACAGCCCACATCCTACAGTGGCCTTCTGTAATTATGTGGTAGACTTTACAGCACCAATAATATTGATTTCCTTTTTAATCTTCTTTACCACACCAAATACTCCCGAAACACAAGACTATGTCTTATTTTATCTCGGTATCCTTGATGCCTAATGAGAGTGGAAGTATATGTTGAATAACTTTTATTAGATTGAACGTATAGTCAATATTTTATTCAAGCTCTTTCAAGTAAATGGGAGTACCTCTAACTCTTACACATTGTTTCCTTTGAATCACGACTCATCTTAACTCACAGTTTTTTTCCTTTTGACATTTTTTTTTTTTTTTAAAGAGATAGGATCCCACTGTCACTTAGGCTGGAGTACAGTGGCACGATCTCCTAGGCTCATGCAAACCTTCAGCCTCAGCCTCCCTGTAGCTGGGAATACAGGTGTGTACCACCATGCCTGGTTCCTTGACTCATAATTTTTAGGAAACATTCTCTAATTACACAAATTCCTTATTATGATCCACACTGATCCTTCTGCCCCAATGAGACCATTATAATTACTATACTTATCTAAACACATTTATGATTGTTCTTTCTGGTCTTTCATATTATAATGTAAACTTCTGAAGGGCAAGGAATTCTATAATGAATAAGGACTTAGGACACAATTATATGTCTCTAGGAACTTTATAAATATAAGCTGAGGCCTGGTGCGATAGCCTGTAATCCTAGCATTCTGGGAGGCCAAGGTGGGAGGACTGCTTGAGCTCAGGAACTTGAGACCAGTCTGAGCAAGAGCGAGACCCCGTCTCTACTAAAAATAGAAAAATTAGCCAAGCTTTGTGGTGCGCCCTGTAGTCCCAGCAACTCGGGAGGCTGAGGCAGGAGGATCACTTGAGCCCAGGAGTTTGAGGTTGCAGTGAGCTATGATGATGCCACTGCATCTACTCCGGACGACAGAGCAAGACTCTGTCTCAAAAAAAAAAAAAAAAGAACTGAGTTAGTTACTAGAGATCACATTAGGCTATTAAAAAGTTAAGGATTACAAATAATATCCTCCTTTAATACATTTATTGCCACACAAAAAAATCAGAAACTTTTCCTCGGGGCCACAGTGTTTTATTACAAAAATAGAATAAAAACTTCGAATGTAATTTAAAGGTAAACATAAATGGAAAAATGAAATTTATTGACTTCTATTCATTTAATCATTTTCAAATTAAACTGTCAATATTAATTGTAACAATAAGAACATCAACAAGTAAGATTTTTTTATACTTCACGTGGCCCTAGGATTAAAACTAGAGTGAGTTAAATATAAGTCTCACGGCAGTTAGTGTTAAAATAATAGATATTGCATCTTAGCCCTGACAGCCTTCCAAACTAACCTCAGTCTTGTTGAACACTCTCCTTCTTCTTTGGCTACCCATCCGATGTCAGCAAAAGATGCCACTGCATCCTCCTCTGGGTGGTTGGGACTCCATTCTGTTGCATGGCTGGTAAGCTATAAGTTACAAATAGGGAAAGTTCTTCATCTGGCACCAAAATATTAAACTTTTTTTTTTTTTTTACTCACCTAAAGGAAAATCGTGAACTCTGGCATTAAAAACACGTATGTGCTTTCTAACACTTCCATTGACGTTCTCCATGAAAAGGATAATCAGTCATAACACTGTTGCCTAATATTTTATGACAATCTCTGCACTAGAATTTAAGTATATTCAATTTTTATTTTACGAGTTAATTTTTTTAAAAACTCCATTTATCCTAAAATGTTAAAAAAAAATTTAGAATCTAAGCATTAGAAACCATTTTTTTTCTGAAGAGATTTTTTAAAAGGGGATAGGGGATTATAAGAACAAGCAAGTGAACAATTTGTGATAAATTCGGGAGTATTTTTAAATGACTTATATAGCTGTT